AATAAAATGAATAATCTTTTCTTTTCTTTTTGTGTATTCAATGTGTCTTTTACATCATGCATCTTGATCTCATTCAGTTCCTATCTCTTTGCACCTGTCCTCTGCCCCTGTAACACCCCCACCCCCAAAATAAAACAAAATTGAAGAGAAAAAAAGGAAAAAATTAAAAATCTCATCATGGAAGCTGCCATGTGGCACAGTAAATCATGCTGAAAATCCCTTTATCCATCCATACGTCTTTACTTGCAAGTGTTCAATTCCAAGAGTCATTGGTCTGGTTCGAGGCTACTGGTTTCTACTACACCATTGATGCTGGGCCCTCACTGAGACTCTTCTTGGATATCCTGTTGTAGCCCTATGTTGTGGAGATCCTGCAGGCTTTGGGTCTGAGGGTCGGGCCCTTTCACGTGCTCCAGCAGATCATAGATGGGGTGGATGTTGGGGCGGGCCAACTCATAATCCTGGTTCTGCTTCTGGGCAGCTGCAGGGTTGGTCAGCCTGCCTGTGCCACCCTGTTCTCACCACCAGGGTGAGCTCTCCAGTGTTGCCCCAGCTAATTCCCCCCTGCAGCAGTGAGCCAGGGGTGGGCCAGTTCTCCTGCTTTCATGGCCTTGAAATTGGCTCTCCTCAGCCTACGCCATCAGGGCCAGCTCTACTGTGTTGCCCAGGCGAGGTACAGGGGTCACTCTTACCCACTGGTGAGGGGCAGGGACAGTCCTCTGGCTCTTAGGACCCCAGGGCCAGCTCCTCCACCTTCCTCAAGGGTTGATGGGCAGAGGAGGGAGGGCATCTTTCCCCTGTCCATGTCTCCACAAAACAAATAGGAAAAGGGGACAGCTCTCCCATGCTCACTCCTTCGGGGCTGACTCACCCACACCTCAGCCAACAGGGTTGTCTCTATTGTGTTGCTCTGGCGAGATGCAGGGCCTGCCCTCCTGAGTATTATAGCTGGAGGGGCGCAGAGGCAGCTCTCTCACTCTTGTTACCTCAGGGACAGCTCTCCCACCTGCCTTAGGTGCTGATGGGTGGAGGGGGGGAAGGGCATCTCTCCCCAGCCCATGCCACCATATGGCAGATGAAGGGTGGGGCCAGGTCTCTCACACGTTCTCAGGGTTGGCTCATCTGTGCCCTTGTAACAGGATCAGCTCTGCTGTGCTGTCCAGATGATGTGCAGGGCTGGTAAGGGGGTCAGCTCCCTCGCCAGCTGGAGGTAGGAGGGGGTAGGTGGAGGAGGTCTTTCCATCATCCCCACCACCTCACCACAGACTAAGGAGGCAGTACCAGCTATGTCCCTCTCACGCTCTCAGGGCTGCTGTTCCGTGCCGTCTACAGGGTCAGCTCTGCTGTGCTGCCCAGGTGAGGTTCATAGCCTGTTCTCTTGAGTGCCAGCTGGTGAGGGGTTCAGTCAGGTCCCTCACCTGCTGCAGGTGGTGAGGGGTGAAGGGAGGAGGGCATCTTTTCCTCACCCATACCACCACATGGGATGTGAGAAGGGCGTGACCTGCCCTCCCATTACCATGCCCTCAGGGCCATCTCACCCATGCCCCTGCACATGGGGTCAGCTTTATTGTGCTGACCAGGTGAGGTGTAGGACCCTCTCTCCTGAGTGCTTGAGCCGGAGAGTGGAAGGACCAGTTCTCCCTAGAGTTGTGCCCGTGGGGTCAGGGCCAACTCTGTACAGCCCTGTCCTCTCAGCTTTTGGTGGTATAAGGGGCCAGGGACATCAACAGAGACCACCGCTGTGTCAAGCCAGGAACCCAGATGTGGGTCCCAGCAGCAGCCCAGGCCCAGACATCACCTTGGCACTGGGTGGCAATAAAGCCCCTCACCTCAGCCCACTCGCTTCCTCTCTCACCTCTTCAGACATGCCTCTGTCCACAGGACATGAACCATTCTCTCTGTCTCTCTCTGTCTCTCTCTCTGTCTCTGTCTCTCTGTCTCTCTCTCTGTCTCTCACCCACACCATATCTCTGCTCACTCTAATAGTGCCCCTCTGGCTAGTGCTGCAAAGTGCTAGGTGTGCCTGTGTTTTCTCCTTGGAGACTGGGGTGGAGAGCACCAAGCCTGTACATGGGTCTCCTTTTCCTGCTCACTTAGCCATGATGCTGGGCTGGGCCATGCTTCCTCATCACAAAGAGATCCTAACATGCCCAGCCACCCTGTGGGTGCAGAGGCTCTACTGAAGTCCTATGGCAGGTTGGGTCTAGAAGGTGCTTGGCTGAGTTCCACCTGCCCCGGCCACATACCGAGGGGTCGGAGGCATTGGGGGAGTCCCTCGGTGGGCCCTAAAATGAATATTTTTTAAAAAAGAAGATAAGGGCATTGTTTACTTTGTTGCTCTAATAAAATACAATGAGCAAAAGCTACTTGTGGAAGAGTTTATTTTGGTTTATGGTTCTAGATGGAATGTCCAAAATGGCAAGGGAAGCGTGGTAGGAGCTGACCAGAGCAGGAGGCTGATGGATCAATCAAGTAAATGGTGGGTAAGGCTATAAACTCTCAAATGTAGTCAGATTTTTCTTTGGACCACCAGCTCACAAAAAGTGACACCAAGACTTACTATTAATTATGAAGGCTCAGCCTATACCTTAGGCTTGTTCTACTAGCTCTTATCATTTAAATTAACACATTTATATTAGTCTACTTTTTGCCTCATGGCTTTTTATCTCTCTTCCATCTTGTACCTCCTGTTTCCTCTCTGTGTCCTCTGGCATCTCTGCTGTGCCTAGATTCATCTCCCCTTCTTTTCTCTCTCCCGGAAGTCCCGCCTAGCCTCTTCCTGTCTAGCTATTGACCATTTAGCTCTCTATTAAACCAATCAGAAGACACCTTGACAAAGGCACATCTTCACAGTGTACAAAAAGATTACTCCACAACACTCCAATCCTGTCCCCAGTGAGGTCCATCTTTCAGTAAGGCTGCACCTCCCACAATCTCTCCAAACAGCGCCACCAACTGGGAGCCAAGTGTTCAAATACCTGAGCCTATGGGGGACACTTCTCATTCAAACCTCCACAGTATGCAGCAAACTAGACTTAACTGACTTATATAAAGGAAGAAGGAAATTGTGTCACTTGCAGAACCATGGATGGAATTGTAGGTCATCACATTAAGGGAAATAGAGCAGATTCAGAAAAGCAAATATTGCAAGTTTTCTCTCATATATTGAAGCTAAAATGTTTTAAGAGAAATGAAGCAGAAAGGGGTGTATTTGGGAAAAGGAAGGGGAGCAAAAGGTGGGCAAAGAAAAGAGAAGATAGTGTGGGGGTGTGAATATGATCAAAGTGTGTGTGTGTGTGTGTGTGTGTGTGTGTGTGTGTGTGTGTGTGTATGAAGATGTCATAAGAAAACTCAACAACCAATATATGGAAAAATAAATGTGTAGAGACAAATTCTGTAGCTTTGTGCTATTTAGGTTAAAAGAAAATGAGCATTCTAAAGCTGAAGGTCTGCTCTGTGTTAATAGGGTAAATATCAGACTAGTTTGTATTACTACAGTCCAGACTCTTACTTACCTGGGAGCTCTGGAGGCATCCTCCAAAGGAAGGAGATATGCCTTATATCACCACTAATATTCACCATTCAAGATGATGGTAATGTTAACCAATACATTCAGGCATGGTAAATAAATTAGGGAGTGTACAGCTTCATTTTTTGTCAATTTAACGCAGGCTGGTGTCATCTGGGAAGAGGGAACCTCAATTGGAGAAAAATTTCTCCATTAGACTGGCCTATAGCTCAATCTATAGGACATTTTCTTGATTAGTGATGGATATAGGAGGGTCCAGCCCACTCACTGTGGGAGTTACCTCTGTTGTAGAATATTACTTTAACTATGTAAAGGTGTGTTACATTTGTTTATGATGTGGAATATTACTTTAACTAGACAAAAATGTGTTACATTTTTATGCTGCAGTTGTTTAATTATGTAAATATGGATTACTAGGCAGGCATCTGATTGGTTTAATAAAAAACTGAATAGCCAATAGCTAGGAAGTAGAGGGATAGGCGGGGCTGGTAGGCAGAGAGAATAAATAGGAGGAAGAATCTAGATTCGAGAAAGAAGAGAAGGAGAGAACGAGGGAGAAAGAGAGGGAGATGTCCAGGGCCAAGCAGCCAGGCAGCCACCAGCCATCCAGACACAGAGTAGGACATACAAAATAAAAGAAAGGTAGAAATCCCAGAGACAAAATGTAGATGAAGAGAAACAGGTTAGATTAAGTTATAAGAGTTAGTGGGACAAGCATAAGGTAAGACCGAGCATTCATAACTATTAATAAGTCTCCATGTCATGATTTGGGAGCTGGTTGGTGGCCCAAAAGAAAGACTGCTACAATCATTCTTAGTTAAGTGGTCCTGGGCTATATTTAAAAAGTTAAGCTAAGCAAGCCATGGACAGCGAGAAAGTAAGCAGCAATCCTCCATGGCCTCTGCATCAGTTCCTTTCTCCAGTTTTCAGGCCTGAGTTCCTGTCCTGGTCTCCCTTCGTGATGGATTGTAACTTTTGAGAAGAAATAAACCCTTTCCTCCCCAAGCGGCTTTCAGCTGTGGTGTTTATCCCAGCAGACTGCCTCGGCCCCTACACTCTTTCCACCCCATTACATGAAGTCCCCTGAACCGAGGATGCAGGAGTTGTGTTGTGGGTGTATCAGGTAGGGCTGGGCACATCACGGTGAGTTGTTCTCTGCATCTTGACTAGTAACTCTCTGTAATGGTCACCTGCTGCTGGAAGAAGCTTAGAGAAGCCAATTTCAAGGTAGGAAAGAACCAATTGAGCTGTCACAGGTGACCACCGGGAAATATTGGGACGAAGCACTGGGGATTCCTAGACACTAATAAGTGAGGATAACTCTGAAGAAATGCACACTGTAGCTAGAGTTTTCCTGCCTGGCCCACAGTCAGAACAAATCTCTATCACCCACCAGTCCCACAGGCACTCAGACCCGACCAAGTAAACACAGAGACTTATATTGGTTACAAACTGTATGGCCGTGGCAGGCTTCTTGCTAACTGTTCTTACAGCTTAAATTAATCCATTTCCATTAATCTATACCTTGCCACATGGCTCATGGCTTACCGGCATCTTCACATGCTGTTTCTCATCATGGCAGCTGGCAGTGTCTCTCTGACTCAGCCTTCCACTTCCCAGCTTTATTCTCCTCCTTGTCCCACCTACACTTCCTGCCTAGCCAATGGCCAATCAGTGTTTTATTTATTGACTAATTAGCAACACATTTGCAATACAGAACATCCCACAGCACTTCCCCCCCCCTTTTTTTTTCCAAAAAGGAAGGTTTTAACCTTAACAAAGTAAAATTACATATAATTTGGGAATTTGGGCGTAGCTTCTCTTACTACTTCCTGCTGGAGAGGGGTGCTGTATCTTATGGGGACACAAAGAAAATTTTAGGATTATGGAGTAGTCCATGAGGGTGTATTGTCTGAGCCAGTTGCCTTCAAACCATTCTGGATGTTGGATCATCTGGGCCATGGTGTCATTGAAGACCTTTCAGGTGGTCTTGGCTGGTCAAACCTGATGTATCTTAATCTGGAACAAATCCATAGCCTTTGGCTTTCTGTGGGAACAAAAGCAGAGACTCTTTTCCAAAGCAACATATCCTTATATCCAAATTTTGAAGTCAAGGTACCTTTAAAATATACATATTGGTTTAACTCAACATCTTTTATGATCAAATGTTTTTCTGCAGTTAAAAATCCCAAAGACAACACAATCCAGATTCTCTGTGTAATATTCATCTTCACGTGGCTTATTTTTTATATTAATTTTACTGTCTCTTTAAAGACTTTATTTTTTAAAACTATGTATTTGTTTCTATAACTGTATATATCACCTTTTTTGTCTCTTTCAAGCCTATGTATATTTTACACACATTGTAAACTATTACATCTGAATCTGTCTTATTGTGAATCTATTGCTTTAAACTGCAGCAGCTGCGGCTGCTGGCTCCGCCCACCTCAGCTTCCCAACATGGCTGTGGTACTTTACCACCAGCTCTGGGAGCTATCGTGGGTCTATGCTTTTATCCAAGCAGCATGTAGCCCAGAAACCTCTTTTTTCTGTTTTGTACTAGCAAAGTCTAAATCCACCATGCAGCTTAATGTGCCACTTGCAGAGGCCTCATTCCTACCATATGGCAGGTCGAGCGCGCACACCAGGAACCCGCCAGTAGCTCAAACCAGCAGCTGCCACTCATTTGAGAGAGACAATTAGGAACTGTTTTTAGCTCCGTTTTAGAATCTTTTTTCTTAGTTTTTAGGTGGAAACTCTTGCCACCACGTTGGACACCATTTGTAGATGTAACCAACCTTCTTATTAAATAAGAAACACAGAACCAATGCAAAGAAGAAACCCAAGAGGTCAGAGCTAAGAGCTAAAACCTTACCCTTCCTCCTGCGGTGGTCCTACCTCTCCAAACCAGAGCTACCCCTGTGTTAAAGTCTTTATATAGACTTCCTGTTCTGCCTTCTCATTGGTTGTAAACCCAACCACATGACCGCCTCCTCATGGCCTGCCTGTATAGGCCTTTAGGTTTTCCATGATTGGTATTGATTAAAGGCATGTGTATCCAATAATGGCTGTATCCCTGAACACACAGAGACTTACCCAGCTCTGCCTACCAAGTGCTGGGATTATAAGAGTACGCCACCACTGCCCTGCTTTCCTATGGCTTGCTAATAGCTCTGACCCCCAGGCAACTTTATTTATTAACATACAAAAAACATTTTAATACAAATAAAATGTCACCATAGCACACAAAAAATAAGGAAATAATTCTTGATACCTCTATATTGAAGGAAACTTATGTACCAGGAAAAGCTCACAAATCTCAAAAACTTAGGACACAATTTCTACCACAATATAATAAGGATCCAAAAGGATTGTGGTGTTTGAACAGTGAAGAATTGAGAATGTGGCCTAAAGATTTCAGAGGAAAGAAGAGGATGAGCCTAGGGGAGTGACTCAGTCAGGACAGTACTTGTCTTGCAAGATTGAGAACCTAAGTTTGACTCCCAGAATGTGTGTAAAAAGCTGCATGTGGTGTTATGCACTGGTACTCTTGGGGCTAGGGAAGTGGAGGTAACAGCATCCTCAGAGGGCATGGGCCAGTCAGTCCAGCCTAACTGGTCAGCTCCAGGCCAATGAGAAGCACTGTCTCGGGAAGGTGGATGGCAACCCTGAGGATGAGACCCGAGATCATCCTCTACCCCCCACATATGCACATGTACCTGCACACACACACACACACACACACACACACATACACATATATGCACATGCACCCACATGCATAAGAAAACAAAACAGAAGATGAGGAGATACCCTGGCAATAAAGTAAGTCTGGCTGAAAAAACACCTTAAACTTTTACCAATAAAACAAAATTCATCTCTGTGCTATAACAGCAGCGCCATCCTCCAAGACAAAACAGATTCCACTTCTGAACAAGTATGAAGCAGCTGAAAAGTTTATTGTCACAATAATAAGCAAATTAGCTGGGTGGGGCAGAAGAGGCACAAGCTAGATGTATTGGGGTACGGGGTGGGGCTGGAGCAGTCAGATCATTTCCCAAGGAGAGAGCTGACTTCATCAAACTGGTCAAAAGGTTGATGAGAGCTTCTAGAGGTGCACTCGAACACAGCAAACTCTGTAAATTGTCTGTGAGATTGCTAATCTGTGCTCATCTTGGACTACTTGACTTAGGGGATTTGCCTTGTCTTCAAAGGGCAGACAGGGAACAATTTGAGGCTCTTTACGAACATGTAATAAAACAAACCGACATTCACTGAGAACTATACAGCCATCTATTTCTGTCTGAAGATTACCTCATGCAAAGCACTGAAGTTCCTAATGAAACATAGAAGACTGTTGTCTAGAAAGTGAGCAGCAATGTATAGAAGCTGCAGGTGAAGACTATTGTCAAGAATCCGGAGAAGGAAGAGTGGGTGCATCTCATAGTCATCTTCTAGGGACTCCTGGGTGGCTTTCTCTGAGGAAGAACACAGGGGTGGCAAGCATTCATACATTCTGCTTTGGAGTTTCACAGATTGAGGATTGGTCAGTTTTTGGATAAGTCAATTGAACATCTACCAAATGTCAAAGGCGACCTATAGTTCATTCCTTAGTCCTGGAAGATGGAAACTAAAGCATTTGGACATTGAGGAGTGAGTCCTGCAGGGCAGAGTTTTGGGGGCAGGGATGCAGAAAATAGGGATAAGGTATAGTCTTGTAGACTAGGTCTAGTCGTCTTGCATAAACTGATTGAAGACAAATTGAGCAATCTCCCATGCTTTCATGATTAATTCAAGTATCGTATTTTGGCGCTCAACTTCCTGCCTAGCATTTTGCTGCCTCTGTGCATAGTGGGCCTCTGCTCTGGTGAATTCCCTCTCCATTTGAGCCTTTCTCCTTTCCCTCTCCAGCTGATCTCTCAGATCTCTAATCTGTTCTTCATACTCATGTATTATCCTTTCTCGCTCTCTCTCGAACTCCTCTCTGTAACGTTCTTGCCTCTCCCGGGTTTGTTTCTGAATCTCTTCCTCAGCGCTTTTGTACATCTTGTTGGTAAAGCATCTTCCATCATTTTCCATCACCATGCGCTGGACCAAGGTCAACAGCTGTGTCCTCTGCTCCTTCTGTTCAGCTCCTGATGCTTTGTTGTTGAACAAACAGTAGCGATCCTCGAACTTATGGATCAGCTCTTTAACGAATTCAGGAGCCGTCTCTAAGTACTCCTGGATATCAGTGTCTTCCAAGTCATCCTTCCTGGTGAGCAAGAGAATCATGAATCTTCTAGCCTTCTTTCCAAACATGTTCAGAATCTTCTGTGTAGCCTTATGGTCTTCCACAGTGTAACGCCCCAATGGGACCACCAGGAGCAGAGCATGAGGCCCTGGGGAGGTCAGGGCAACACACCGAGCTATCTCTTTTCTTGTGTCAACTTCTGGTACCTCAGTGTCAAAAACACCAGGCGTATCCACGACAACGACCTCTCTCCCATCCCAGGTGCTCACCCTTTTCTCACAGACCTTGGTAATGGATTTTGGACAAATGCCAGAATAAAACGCTTTCTCTCCGAGGATGCTATTCCCTGTTGCACTCTTTCCTGCTCCGGTTTTTCCCAGTAAGACAATTCTCAGTTGGGAATTTTCCTGGTCTTGGTTTGCAAACCCTAGAACATGAAAAAAACAAAATTAAGTGCGGACTCGGCCCCCAACAGTTAAGCACATAGAGTCCCACCTTCCAGTGCCTGCTCTCCTGCTGCTCCACTCACAGGGGCTCCCTCTTGCTGTCACCTCTGCCCCCAGGGTCTGCAAACAGCCTCTGGGTCTAATGACCATCTGGAAGGACTGGACAGCAAGGAGCTCCAGCAAGTGCCTCCCTTGGTCTCTCTTCTTCACTGCCTCTGGACAACATTCTTTTGAACTCCTCATTCTGACCCTTTGTGACTCCCAAGCCCCCAGAGGAGAAATAAGAGTTTCAGAAAAGAACTGTGAGCTGCTTCCAACAGCCGCCCCACTAAAGGAATCCAGGGCAGCACACAAAGTATGGGTTTGGGGCATCAACAGGGAAGGATGTATTTTTTTCTGATTTGTATTTAAAAATGACTTTTCTTCTTCCAACTGAGAGCCAAGTAGGGGTGACATACAAGCTTTATGATAGTTCCCCATGCTGACCTAGGCCATCTGCATATATGTTACAGTTGTGTAGCTTGGTCTCTTCTGGGACTTCTTTAACAGTGGGAAGAAGGGCCATCTCCAAATCTTTTACTGGCTTTTGGGACCCTCCTCCTCATACTGGGTCACCTTGCTCAGCCTTAATACAAGGAGAGGTGCTTAGTATTCCTGCAACTTGATACGCCATGTTTTGTTGATATTCATTATGGAAGTATTTGCCCTTTCCTGGATGGAGATAGAGGAGGAGGAGATTTGGGGGTGGGAGCAGCATGGTGGAGGGGGAGAGACTGGGAGAGAGGATGGGGGGAGGCTGTGGTTGAGATGTAAAATAAATAGTTAAATAAAAATAAAGACTCAGGAGAAAAAAATGATAGTTCCCCATGTTTGGAAACCAGAATCCCAGGATGAAAGAAAGAATATTACTGAGAACACAGTCTGAGATGTTCTAAGAAAAGATGTGAGGGTCGTTCCCATCAGCGTTTACTGAGCTCCACAATGTAGTACCACATCTGAAGGGTTCTCTTGGGCATTGGTTTCTTGGCCATAGGAAGGAAGAATGGGAAAAAGCACCAATCATAGCTCCTGTGCCACAATTAGCCAGTGTTGATACCATGTGATGATGATCCCTGGCTAGATTGCAACACATACCCCAATCCTTCCCATCCCTGAATCCCCTCCTCTTTGGGATGGAGATTTTCAGCTTTTCCCAGTAAAATGTAGCCGGTGGGTCTGGATCTGAGGACACTATGGCACTAGTGACACTATGACACACATAGTGGAGGACACTCTGCTCCCGAGGACCAGGAAGCAAAACTTCCAAGAGCCCTTAAGCAACGTGGCCTGTCTGCTCCTTGGGCTCCTCTGCGACTGCCAGGTGAAGACACCTGGACTAGCTTGCTGGACAGCAGCAGCCATGCGGTGACACATTGTGGACCCTAATAAAAGTAGCCTGAAGATCAGAGGACAGAACAAGCCATGGATTAAACATAGAAGCCAGGCAGTGGTGGCACACACCTTGAATCCTCAGGAGGCAGAGATCCCTCTGGATCTCTGTGAGTTCAAAGCCACCCTGGATTGCATGAGATTGATTCAGTCTAGGAAGGAAACAGAGCCAGGCAGTGGTGGCACACACCTTTAATCCCAGTACTTGGGAATCACACGTCTCTAATCCCAGCACTAAGAATAAACTAATATGGCTGGCAGAGAAAGGTATATAAGGTGTGAAGAGACAGGAACTCGAGCCTTTGGCTTGGCCTTTCATGACAGAGCTTTTTGGCTTGGCTTTTCATGAGAGTCTTTGAGCTGGGGACACAGAAGCAAACAGTCAGGCTCTCTTTTGGCTGGAGCTTTTTGGCTTAGGCTTTTGACTAAGTTCTTTCAGCTGAGGCTTTTTCTGCTGAAGACTCAGAAGCAAACAGTCAGAGGATTCGTGGAGTTGGTGAGGTAAGACATGGCTGTGACCTGTTCCTTTGTCTCTCTGATGTTTCAACATTTACCCTAATATCTGGCTCAAAATTTTTTTTTATTAATAAGACCTTTTAAAAATAGAGCAACACAGCCAGGCAAGATCCCCACCACCCTGGCCTGCCTAAGAGGTAGATGACTACACCCAAGCTTCTTAGACTGCAGGCTGTGACCCCCATGTGGGGCCACAAAGCTGGACATGTGGAGGAGGAGAAACAGTTAGCAACAGTGAGGGATTCTGAACCCACAATGACTAAAACTGATTTTGAAATCAAAGGTGTAATGAATCTGTAATGTCTCTGACAGCACTTCCCTGTGTTCTATGATGAAACAGCAACCTTGGTTCTGACCAAACCCACCAATCCTTTGTCTTGCTCATATCATGCAACACCAATGAACACTGCCCAAACATGATGACTCAGATGGAGACTATTGCCACTTTCTAGTATGGACTTAGTGAATGCAGTTCTTACAATTGATTATTGAAAAATTAAAATATCAATTGACCCTGAAAAATGTCTGAGATGTTCTATCCTGCAGTATCAAATGTTCAATCAAGACTTATGTATGCAAAACATAACCCAAGCATATCCTCCTCACTAGTGTGCAAATATGCTTTTTTTGAAGTTGAAGAAAAACAATACATTCATTAACTTTAATTTTCTTATTTACTTTCTTTGTACATGCCATACACTTCTTCAGTGTTGTCAAGGACTAGTTGTTCAACACAACTTGTACATAGGAATAGTGTGCAATGCAGGTACTCACAAGAGTTAACATCTCTATTGCTCACATAACTACATTTTCGTGGTGAAAACACTTAAAATCTATGTTCTTATCAACTGTAAAATACAGTATTAAGTATGTTCACTATGTTGTGTAACAGGGCTCCAGAATGTGTTCATCCTAGCTAAGTAAAACTCCTCACAATATGAACGGGGCAAATATGCTTTAATCTTTCAGAAACGGTAAATTATATATGTGTGTGTGTGTGTGTGTGTGTGTGTGTGTATACCAAAAATTCATTTCAAATTTCTTATGTTTGACTTGTAACCTATTTTATATGCCTATGTACCTAGAGTCACATAAACATTTCTTGAGGAAAAAGCAGCAATGGGGGGAGGGGTGGAGTTTAATAAGCCCTGAAGTACACACATCTGCAAATCTATCAAGACCCTGACAGGGAACCACTAGTTTGTCAGGGGTACATGAATGACAGATCTGTGAGGCTATCAGGACTCTGACAGGGAACCAGTAGCTTGCCACAAGCACATGAGTGAGTACCCAACTTATCAGATGTGGTTCAGATCCCAGGAATGCCTAACAGACTCACAGCATCTGGAGCCAAAGAAATGGGTGATGTTTTACGCTACTGCATTGTAAGGTAGTTTGATAAACCAGCAGAATCTCAAGTGACATAGTGAACATGGTGGACAGAGGAACTGGAGTGCTCAGTGACACATTGATTCAGTTGTTGGGGAGATGAGGACCCTGGGAGAAGGGACCCAGATGGGGGATCAATAACCCCACATTGTTCTCTCCTCCTTTAGCACAGGGAGAGTTTCTGCTATGTTCACACTGTAGGAAGAAGGAAGTGAGACACTGTGCTTAAGTCAGGCATGGTAGTTCACTCATACCTGTCAGCGGGACTTGGGGGAAAAGAGCAGGATGGCTGTCACAAGCTGTTGTAGAATATTATTTTAACATATGTTACATTTGTTTATGTTGTGGAACATTTGTTTAATGATGCAAAGATGTGTTGCATTCTTTTAGGTTGCATTTGTTTAACTCTGTGAAGCTGTGTTACTTTGCCTGTCTAAAACACCTGATGGTCTAATAAAGTGCTGAACGGCCAATAGCAAGGCAGGAAAAAGGATAGGCAGGGCTGGGAGGCAGTGCGAATAAATAGAAGGAGAAATCTGGAGGAAAAAAAAAGGAAAAAGAACAAGAGAACAATGAGAGGGGGATGCTAGGGGCCAACCACCCAGCCACCCAGCCACCCAGCCACCCAGCCACCCAGGCAGCCATGGAGTAAGAGTGAAAGTAAGATACACAGAAGGAAGAAAAGGAAAAAGCCCAGGGGCAAAAGGTAGATAGGATAGTTTAAAGTTAAGAAAAGCTGGCAGGAAGGAAGCAGAGCTAAGGCCAGGCATGTATAAGCCAGAATAAGCCTCTGTGTGTGATTTATTTGGAAGCTGAGGAGCGGCCCCCAAAGAGTAAAGAACAAAAACAGCAGCAGGAGGCTGCAAGCTGGCCTAGGCCACAGTGTGAAAGCCTGTGTCAAAACAAACAAGGGGGGATGGAAAGAGGAAGGGAGGGAGGGCCCTGGTCTGGACCAGTGAGAGGCCATTAGGTTTCTCCTGCTTAGCCTGATGGACATGTCCTAAGAAGAGAGCAGGAAGAATCAAGAGACCCCGCAGAGCCGAGAAATATGAGGACAGCAGCCGGAAATACTTTGCTCCTGCTGTGTGGGGACTGATGGTCAAGACAGGAGGGATTCCACCCTCCCTGCGGCCTTCTCACTTCTCCTGCAGCTCAGCCACCCACGCCTCCCCACACCCACACCCATCCCAGCCCTATCCCCCCCCCACTCCATCCCCCGCATCCCAGCTCCTCTCACCATAGCTGGTCCTTGGCTTTCCTGGGACAGACCCCACACCATGGTACCGGGCTGCCATTGTAGCTTGACTCCCTGCAGATAAAGAAACAGCATAGCATTTTAGAATCCTGCCTCCTGTAGCCAACACTAAAGTTTTGGTCATAAACTCCAGACTTTCATGTCTCCTGCCCCATACCCAAAAACCCACCTCAACACTCCATTTTCAGGCTGCTTTTTTTTTTTTTTTTAACACAAACTTAAATACTCCCAGCACCTCCTTGTGCTTGTCCTGGCCCCCATCTTCTCTCGAGCTAGTGAGTGAGTGCTGGGGTGCCTTTTACAAGATGTTCCTTCAGGGTTCCAAACTTCTGGCTCAGCATCTCCTTGTGGCTTTCACTCTTTCCTAGACATCTCTAACAAAGATGGTCAGGACAGAACCCTTGACTGCTCCCCAACCCCAGGCATGGCTCCTTGTCTCGGTGAATGGCAGCCCAGTGCAGCCTGAGGCTCCTGCCAGACCTTGGCCTCCACTACTACACCCTGCTTTCTGCCTTGCATCAGCCCATCACGAAATCTTAATGGCTCTCCTTCCAGAAATCTTACTGTCTCGTCTCTACCTTCACGCTGATCAAATCCACTGCCATTTGCTGTCAGGGTAACAGGCTGGTTCCCAATCATCCCACCCTGGGTCCCTTTCTTACTCTGCCAGCAAATGTCACTTTAAAAATAAAATGGCAGCCAGGCTTGTGGCACATGCCTTTAATCCCAGCAATCGGGAGGCAGAGCCAGGTGGATCTCTGTGAGTTCTGAGTTCGAGGCCAGCCTGGTCTACAGAGCAAGATCCAGGACAGGCACCAAAACTACATGGAGAAACCCTGTCTCGAAAAACCAAACCAAACAAAACAACACAAAGAACAAAACAAAATTAAACAAAGACCACTTTCGCATTCCTCTTTCCTTTTTCCTTTATCAGTGTTAATGGCTGTAAGCACTCTATTCTAGGAATGCATGGACCTGAGGAAGACTAGGTGGCTGAGATGCTAAGAACACTTGCTGCTTTTGCCAAGGGCCAGGGCTCAGTTTCCAGCACCCACATGGCAGCTCACAACTGTCTCTAACTCCAGTTTCAGAGGATCTGATGGGGCCTTCCAACCTCCTGGAGAACCAGACATGCACATGGTACCTGTTTGTATATGTATGTGTGTATATACAATACATTTACATGAAAGCAAAACACTTATACACATAAAATAAAAATATTTTAAGGAAAAAATAAAATTGCACTTTACTTTTCTTACTTGAATTCCCTAGCGGCTTTTGTTTACCTTTAGAAGATGGTTTGAACTAGATCAATGGTCCAGAAGTCCCTGCATGATCATCCCTCTCTGAAGACACTGACCTCTCCTATGTTCCCAGAGTCCTTTCATCTCCTAAGCCTCTTCAGAACTTCCCCTCCCTGGGGGCGCTGCTTAGCCCCTGCTTCCAGAGAGGCCCTGTCCAACCTCTCTGCTGCAGCTGCACCAACCTGAGATGCAGGCCTTCCAGGTCACTTGCTCTTGCTGTAACTGCATAGCAGCCTTTCTTCATCGGGGACATGGGTGTAACATGAGATGATTCTCTAACATTTACTTAGAGAATCTTAGACTATATGACAGGAAACTTCCTGGGGACAGGCACAGCACTGGACAAAGGGTGGGTCTCGGTTCACTAAACAAGCAAATTAACTGTCTTGGTTCTTTGCCTCCCTCAGAACAATAGTGACCTCTGCATACAGCAATCACTTCCATGTTATCCAATACACAGACATGAAGAAACACTCAGCTCGTTTTGAATGCGTCCTTTATCTATTATCCATGAAAATTTTTGAGAAACCTGGAGCTGACTGTTTCCAGGACAGGCTGGAATGTTCCTTCTTATGGACAGAGTCTCCACACAAAGAGCCATCAATTTCAAACGTGAAGCAGAAAGCCAGATGCTTGTTTTGAAATAGGCTCATTCCGTTATGTCTGAGGGCTGGGTGGGTAGAAGACAGCCTCTCATAGACTAGAAAGGGAAACCATTTGACTCTTAACAGAGTTGGTATTGGTGATTAGCGAGGAGACCTGGAAGCAGTCATGTAAAATTTCTCAAGACTTTGGGGGCTGTGTCTTTAGACCCAATTCATATGTCTAACCAGGACCTGTGCTTCTGTGGGTGCTGATTTCATTGACTAAGTCCTCCTCCCTCAGCCTAGGAACACAGATTCATTACTGGCTTCAGAACTGTAGTCACAATGAGTGTAACTTAGAGCTCAACTCTTCCATGAACCTAGGAAAGAATGGTTCCCCACAAGGCAGCTTCCCTGGGGAGCAGCTTGAGGGAAAAAGGTAAGAGCCAGTGAGGACCCTGACCTGTATGCCAGCTTGGATGAGGACACATGCCAAGCTGTGCATGTTAGGGACCTCTCATCCCTTCCTTCTTCTCTCCTTCTCCCACCAAACTAATTCATCCATTCTCTTCCTGGAAGAGTCAAGTTAGACATTTTTTGACCAGTGATGGTACACTTTCTCCATAAGAAAAGGTGGTGAACGCCTTTAATCTTAATCCCAGCACACGAAAGCAGAGGTAGGCAGATCTCTGTGAGATCAAGGCCAGTCTGGTCTACAGAGCTAGTTCTAGGACAGCTAGGGCTGTTGTATAGAGAAACCCTCTCTCTAAAAGCAAAAAAAAAAAAAAAAAACCACAAAAAAGGAAGAAGAAGAAGAAAAGAAAAAGAAAGTATCCTCGAGGCAATGGACCCTGAAGCATACATGAATTTGTAGGACTCAGCAGCCTTCACCACGGATTACAGCCTAAAATTAGCAGGCAGGAAACAGGGACCAATAAGTACCATTTCCAAGGGCAAGTCTGCCAGGAGGTTTACAAGACACAGCCAACAAAGCAGCCCCGTCCGCACCAAATTCAACAGTCTCCCAGTCTCCCAGTCTCACCTGAAACTCTGGGTCCTGTGGCCTCCTCTGATTTCACAGCATTGCTGAAGCCAGAAGAGAGCAGCAGAGAGGAAGTGGGGGGAGGAGCTGTGGAAACACAGTAGTCAAGGGACCCACCCTTCTTCCTAGCTAGCTGCACAGCAGAACTTTCTGCTGTCCTCTTATTCTATGGCATCTAATATAGAACCTATGGGCCCCTGGGAGCTACTGGACACTTGGGATGTGATAAATCAAGTGAGAAATAAAGTATTTCATGGTATTAGTCACTTTTCCCATCATTGGGACTTTTGTTGACTACATACGGTTCATCTTAACAAACAATGGGCAGTCTGCTCCTGTTTGGCACAATATTCTGTAAATATGACTGACAATGAGTTGGTTGGCAGTGATACTGAATCTCCTGTATGCTAACTTACTTAAGAAATGGAGAGGGGAACACTCCCCCACTGTTGGTGGGAATGCAAACTTGTACAACCACTTTGGAAATCAGTATGGTGGTTTCTAAGCAAATTGGGAATCGATCTACCTCAAGACCCAGCCATACCACTCTTGGGCACATACCCAAGGAATGCTCAACCATACCACAAAGATACATGCTCAATTATGTTCATAGCAGCACTATTTGTAATAGCCAGAACCTGGAAACAACCTAGATGCCTGTCAACTGAAGAATGGATTAAGAAAATGTGGTACATATACACAATGGAGTACTACTCAGCAGAGAAAAACAATGACAGCATCAAATTCGCAGGCAAATGGACGGAACTAGAAAATATCATCCTGAGTGAGGTAACCCAAACCCAGAAGGGCAAACATGGTATGTACTCACTCATAAGTGGATACTAGATATAAAGCAAAGAACAATCAGACTGCAACCCACAGAACCAGGGAGGCTACATAGCAGGGGGGGGACCCTAGGATGACTGTGGCTTATAAATAGTTTTGGTTTTACTCAATTACTGGGCAAGCCTCAATCAAACATTTCACTATTAGGATAAGAAGTTATACTGTATCAATATAATAGATTGATATAATATATCAATATTATATAAAAACAAAAAAACAAAAAATAAAATAAAATATTTAAATGGGTTTATTCAATGACCTAGAAGTTCTAAATACCTATACAAGAAAATAGAAAAAAAAGATACTTAAAAAAAAAACTTGTAAAGTCTGGGCATGTACCTTAGTAAGGTTGCATTTGCCTAGCATATTCAAGGCCTTATGTTCAAACACCAATGAACAAAAGAAGGAAATAAGCTTGCATATGTTTATAGCATCATTACTCGTAACAGTTGAAAGCTGCAAACCCCAATCAAAAGATAATTGTGGTATATGCACACGATGGAATATTACTCAATTCTAAACAAGAATGTAGTACTTGTATTCCAGCATGGATCAATCTTGAAAACATCCTATGTGAAAATAAGTTGGACACCAAAAGCAAAATAGTGTGTGATCCGTTCTTGTTCCAGTATTGTCTAGAATAAACAAATTTATAGTGACAGGACATGGATTAGCAGTTTCTGGGCCTAAGAAAAGACAGGAATAGACTCATTACATGGCACAAGATGAATGTTTTGAATGGTTAAAAACATTCGGACTCAAGTGGTGATGGTTGTAAATATTGCGAACGTATTCAAGTCATAGGACTGTGCACTGAAATGATGGGAATGGACCACTGCATGTTATCAGAGAAAAAACCTTATGTCTATTAAAAAAAAAAAAAAAGAAATGGGGAGGGGGCTCCTTGTCAATAGCCTATAGTAGAATCTACTTTCAATTTGGGTATTTAGATATTTTATACTTCATATAATTCATGATACGGTTGGATTTCAACGGGACATCTATATCATACCTCCTCCCCTCCAGGCCCAGAGATCACTGCAGACGAGGGCATGGGAAGATTGGAGGCAGTGGACATGTGCAGGAAAACAGTACCTGCTGTATATGACAAGGCCATTTCAGGGGAGACAGATGACATAGAGTTGGGAGGAGAGGAGAGGGCTGAAGGAATTAGAGGGGAGGGTAATGGGGGTGGAACTGATCTAAACACACTATGTAAACATACAAAATTCTCTAACAATAAAACATTATCAGCTACCAGTTTTCTCCTTATCCAATCTGTTCTTCTCTCCCTTTCTCTACTATTCTGTCTACTTTGGGGATGATTCTTATGTGATTTCCCTTTTATTTCTTCATGTTGACTTATTTAGGACAACCTTTTTTTGGTGGTTCCCTCAGGGTCCATGCATAACTCTTCAACTTAGAATAGTCTGCTTTCAAATTCTATTCAAACTTTCCACATATATAGTGGAATCATATATAGGGGGTTCCTCACGTCTCCACACTATGATTATCATAAAACCTGCCATCTGTATGTTTTATAAACCCAGGGGACCACCGGCTCTGGGTAATTACTCTGGCAGAGGTCAGCAGGAAGAGCTTAGGTTTTGGATCCCTAACACAATGAACAAGAGTGATGTGGGGGCAGGGGTAGGAGTATTGAGTCAGATTAGAAAAAATTCCTACCTTCAGGAAAGTCTATTATTCAGTAACTTTGATTCCCCAGGTTCACCTGTGAAATCTGGTAACTTGGCACAGAATCACCAAGCAACCAGGTGGGTGCTGATAGGCCCTGACAAAGTGAATTCTTCACCACGGGCCTTCTAAACTCTCCTCTCAGGTTCCATGTACTGAACTGTGCACTGAAGGGGCCTGGGAATGTGGAGTCTTCAGTAATCGGGATGCTGGAAGCAGAAATGTCCAGACACAAAACTGACGTTTTTCTTCAATCTGCAGACTCCCTTCTCATACTCATACAAATCTTGTGTCCAGCTCATTTGAAATTTTTTTTTTTTTTTTTTTTTTTTGGTTTTTCGAGACAGGGTTTCTCTGTGTAGCTTTGCGCCTTCCTGGGACTCACTTGGTAGCCCAGGCTGGCCTCGAACTCACAGAGATCCGCCTGGCTCTGCCTCCCGAGTGCTGGGATTAAAGGCGTGCGCCATTTGAAATTTTACAGCAAAGAGACCAGAGGGTGATTTTTCATTAAAATTCTCGAGAATTTGTGGACTCAACAGTTGATGTCAGCCCATTTCCCAGAAGCCTCTCTTATGAGAGTAAGACAGTTGGTGTGAAATGTATCTGTGCCCCTGAAACACTTCCCCCCTCATCAGCCACAGACATTTCCTGTCCCCTCTCCTTCAGCTTCTCTCTGACTCATCACATGAGCTGTGGTCACTTTACAGGGGAGTAAGGCAAGATGGAGGGGCCATGCATCCTGCCATTAACATGAGATGGTACCCAAACAGGCTATGGGGAGAGGTTGGGAAATGAAGAAACATCTCAGGGAGATCTCAGCAAACCAAACTCTGCTCAGTGTTCTCCCTGAGTGTCACTTTGGACTGGTATTGACCCCAAACAGAGCTTTCCTCTGCCTTCCACCTGGAGGAGAGACCTAGTTATGGCCGGCCACTCACAGCTCAATCTTGAGCGGGTGTGGTGTGTGTACAGTGTCTCTACCTTTAGAATCATTGTAATAGAGTTTTAAAAGCCTAAACTATTAATAAAATACTTAGCAAATTCGTTATAAATGTTTGCAAAATTGCCCTGGAGAGATGGACCCGTGGTGAAGTGCACTGGTGGCTCTTCTGAGGACCCAGGCTGGATTCCCAGACATCACATGGTGGCTCACAACCATCTCCAACTCCAGTTTCAGGGGATCTGACTCCCTCTACAGCCTCTGTGGGCTCCAGGCACACACATCCATGCAGTCAAACACAACCCCCCCCATATAAAATTGTTAAAATAAGCTGCATGAAGTTCACAGCTGGGTGAGACCACTGGTGCCATCACTCCCCTAACAGATTCCAGAATTGGCGGGGGTGGGGAGCAGACTCTCCAGTTGTGTCCCCACTGCTGGACGCATTGGCCTCTAATGTATTGTCCCAAGTTCACGGTCACATGAGCAGTCCTAGCTAAATTCTGTGAGACATAAAGCAAAACAAAATGTCATAAATTTGAGGGAAATTTTTTGGGGAGTGGCGAGGGTTGGAGGGAAGAGGAGAAGGTGGAGGGAGAGTAACCAGAGTAACAAACTTCATTAATAAAAACAAAATCATTTTTATTACTAGCTGTTTTGAAGCAATAGTTATTTAAAATATCCTTGAGAATGCAGGAATGGCCGTGAGGGGGTCTGTGTAACTATGTGAAAGTACTTTGTGCATTTTTGTTCGGCTGTGTTCTAGTTCCATTTAACAGCGAGCGCATCAGAGATTTCAAAGTCAAGGTAAGTTGGCTTATGGAATATCAACAGTTCAGTAACACTGTGGTCTCCACCTATTAGACACCACAGGAAGCCTCACAGCCAACAGGCCTCCTGGAGGGATCACAGGGCCGTACAGGGTATAAAAGTAAAAGCATTAGTGGGGATGAGATACCAGGCCAAACTCCTGGAAGACAGGGGAGGTGAGAGTTCACTGACCTCCCTCACAGCCCAGAAAGGCTAGAGGTGGGGGGCAGAGACTGAAGCCCAAAGAAAAGGCCCTTCAAGTTCAGAAATGGCAGCTGTAAAGACCCAGCTTACTAGAGGATGAAGTAGGGGTTAGTGGAAACAGTGGACTCTGTAGTCTCCTCCATCCTCCTAATTCAGAGACCTGCACCTCATCTTCTCCCAGGAAGATGGTGAGAAGGATTTTTCTGTTTTTGTTTGTTTGTTTGTTTGTTTTTTCCTGAAGATTAGAACATCTCACAAAAATCTTGTACTTCCCAGCATTGAGAGTTCATTCCACAGGGTCATCTATGTCTTCTCCGTCACTTGTGGTGGAACTCAGAGGCCCACCACAGAGCTTCCAGCCAGCTTTCCTAATGACTTGCCTTTTTTAATAGTTTAAATTGTGTGTGTGTTTGTGTGTGTGTGTGTGTGTGTGTGTGTGTGTGTGCTTGTGTGTGTGTGTGTGTGTGTGTGTGTGTGTGTGTGTGTGTGCGCGCGCGCGTCTTGTGTCTTCAAGAAACAGTCATTGCAATCACAAGCCCACAGCAGCCTTGGGCCTGGATGGAGGAGGAGCTCGTGGGAACCTACTCCACCCTGCTGAGGTGTTAACTACGGATGGATTCTGGGAGAGGAAGAGTCATTGCCTTCCATTGCTCTCCTCCTGGTGGGCTCACCATGCTCTGACAGATTGTTCTCGACCTGTTCTCACACACATGAACCTAGCTAAACTCAGTGGATCACAAAGCAAAAAACATACCCAAACAGAAAGACATGAATGTAATCAGAACATACTATATGCAGACATGCATGAAATTGTCAAGGAACAAATGTCATTAATAAAAAAGAATGACATTTACTTCACCATCTCAACTTGTCCCAAAGTCTTGAAAGCATTTCACGTATCTTATTGAAAATATACTTTAATATGTTCTCTTCAGCCTCTTCCCTAATGTTTCTCATTTTCTCATTATATTTTCTTTTTGCAGAATCAATTTGTGCCTTCTTTTCTTTTTCTATTCTTTGGATTTCAGCACTGAGTTCTTGAGCATAAGTTTCCTCCAGATTCCTTAGACATTGTTTCAGCCTTTTTTCTACATCCTCATATATCTTTTCAGAAAAGTAGGAACCCCCGTTTCCATCCACCATTTTCTCTATCAGTTCTACCAGCTGCTGTACTTGATTTTCTTGCTCGGCCTCTACTGCTTTGTTATTAAAGGCCAGGTAGCGTTTCCCACACTGCAAGATGATATTCTTTAGCTTTTCATTTGCTTGGACTAAAAAGTCATCAAGGCTCTGGTCCTCCAGCTCGTCTTTTCGAGTAAACAAGACAATCATGTACTTCATAGCTTCCTCTCCAAAAAGACCCTTGATCAGATCAACAGTTTTCTGCTCTTCCTCGGTGAAGCGTCCAAGCTGCAGAACCAGGATGATGGCATGAGGCCCAGGGCAGGAGTACAGGACACAGCGGCTGATTTCAGTGCAGGTGGTTTCCATGGTCTTCTTGGTGTCAAACAGCCCGGGAGTGTCGACCACCACAAGGTTTCTCCTCTTCCATTCCCTGGAGGCTTTCTGGCAGGTCTTAGTAACAGCATTGGCAGAAATCTTAGAATCAAATTCCTGTCTCCCAAGGATGGTGTTTGCTGTGGCACTCTTTCCATTTCCGGTTTTCCCTACCAGAATGAGCCTCACCTCGGGGTTTTCAGCAGCCATGTTGAGGGGAACCAGCTCTGAAGATCAGGAGTGACAGATCTTAAGGAAGGGAAAGAGAGAGAAATTGCCTGTTAGGAAAACGGGAACTGCTCCAGTGCTTTCTTGTTCCCCATCCCTCCCTAAATGTGTGCAGTGCTCTTTATCTCCGTGTATCCTTGTAGAGACAGAGAGAAGAAGCACTACCAAGGAAGAACCAGAGAAATTAAACACAAGAATGCTGCTCCATGTGATTCTGCAGGGAAATCCCAGGGGCTCGTGCATGCTGCAGTGTTCCTATAGAGGTCAGAGGATGACCTTGTGGGGTTGGCTCCCGCTTTCCACCTTCACATGGTTTCTGGGCATTGAACCCCGGTTGTCAGGCTTGCACAGGAAGTGCCTTTACATGCTGAGCCATCTCATAAGCATCTCCACCACCACCAACACCCCCTGCCACCTCCCCCAGCATACTTTTAAAACCCTGATAATCTGGATGCCATTTAAACTGTTTGTGATAGCACAGAAATGGTATTTCTACTCCTGCTACCAGCCTATATGCAGCATTGGAACAGGTACCACGCCCAATGCCAGTCCTGAGAGTAAGTGCACCCAAACCTCTGCTGTGCCAAGTATTTGAAAGCCCAGCACATACTGGGCTGACTGTAATGCCCAACATCTTACCGTATGTTTTATGAAGAACTATGAGAAGCGTTCTAAGGCTGCAAACATAAGAAACAGTAAGGAAGTGGAGGGCTCAGTCCCCTGATTTGACTAGTGCACAGTTTAATGTGTGTCCTTAAACATCGTATTAAAGAAATACGTTCATTTATCACATTAATAAAAAAAGAAACAGACATACACACACACACAACAAAGCAAAACACCAAACCAAAACAAAAAACCCAGGACAGTTAAAACAATCTGAATAGCGAAAGAACTGCTGGAGGCACCATCCCCTCAGATTTCAAGGCGGTGCTACAGATGTTACAGAAATACAGTCATAAAGGAAAAGAGCAGCAGGAAGCAACACAGGGGCCCTGAGCCACAGCTGCAAGCTTGTCCCTGCAAGCCTTCAGAGCAGCTAATCTGGCATTGATAGCCCCCTCCGCCCCGCCCCATACTCACAGAGCCACACAGCTGTCCATGCAGAGCTGTCTATTGTACCGTGGGAAGAGTCAGCACGCTGAATTCTAACTCTCCTCTGCCCAGGATGACCTGGGCAGGTAAGAGGGTCATCAGACTTTCTGAGGTAAGAAAAGTGACTTAGATGATCTGAGCTGTCTCCCAGGTCTGAGGAAACTGCCGTGGAGACACAGAAATTTCTGTGAAGAGTGTCAGGCTACACTGTGTCCTGTGCCACAGCTACCTACAGGCAGATTGGAACCACAGCAAGCTAATTCACCTCCTCGGCCCTTATCTCCACCATCACCACTCCCACCAGCAGAGCCCTCCCTGGGGAGCCACGGACTCACCACCTACACCCGCATAGATGCCCCATCCCCTACTGCCTCTCACAGCTCCCTTCCTCCAGGTCTCTTCCCAGACAGACTCACCTTCTTCTTCAGGAAGTAGTGAGAGTTCAAGGTCTCTCTGAGAGCCTGTGCTTCTGCTCAACTGTATGAAGCAAAACTGCCTATTCCCTAAAGCCTGTCAGTCAGGAAGTTCTAAGGGTGGAGCCAATGAAGAGACTGTTTGCCTTTAAAGAAACAGAAATATTGTCCTGTAACTTAGGGGGTGCTTCAGTGTTGTCAAGTTGAAGCCTTTTTTAGGGATGTCTACTAAAATGCCAAAAAATTCCAAAAAAGATTTTTAATTGTTTTGGGTTGGTTTTGTTTTTTTAAGATCCAGCCTCAGGTAGCCCAGGCTAATCTTGAATTCATTATGTATTAAGGACAACCTTGAATTCAAAGCTGAGGACCTGGTAGTTATTAGGTCCTTGAGGCTGATACCCCAACTGCTGGAGCAGTCTCCCTGTAGCTGTCTCTCACTTGGGGGGCAGGATGCAACAACTGGGAGTTACTCAGTGCCCAGGGCAGGGTGGCTCAGTGGTCCCAGTCTGGTGCCAGGACCCAGACACTTCCTGAAGAGCCACACTGGTCCTTAGCCCACAGTGAAACTTGAAAATGCTGGTCTGATGTCAGCGAAGGAATCAGCAGCGGGGGGTGGGGGGCGGCGGCGCCTCAGGAGCAAAGGGCAGGTGGTCTTCCTTAGGCCACACCCTTTCCACCTGCCCTGCCACCAGAAGCCACAGCCCACGATGGGCAAGGCAGTCAGGACAGTTCTTCAGGTGCAGCTCCCTACTCTGGTTCTTCGGATCTGTGGCAAGTGGACATGCAAACCCATCACACTAAGGCGCCACAGTAGGCTTCAAACCTGTGTTTTGGTTCATGCCCAGGGTGATACCGAATACGCAAAGAGGCCTAGATCTTCAACTATTTTCCTCATGTTCCCTCTAGCCATGTTAAGCTTTCAGACCTTACACGAAAGTTTCTGATTCATTTTTAATGAATTGCTGTCTGAGGTGAGAGATGTGAAGCTTGTCTCAGTTCTCGGCAGGTGATGCCCGGTTTCACCCTTTGCTAAAGCGGCTGTTCGTTCTCCAGCATGTGTCTCTGGTACCTTTGTGGAAAATCAGATGGCTGTAACTGCATGGCTTTATTTCTGGGTTCCTTGTTCAAGAGAACACAGAATGTTGACCTATGTTTCTGGGTTTGTGCCAGAACCATATATGAATAATTCCTAAGTCCAATACTAAGAAAACAATCCAATATAAACAGGACAAAGGCCTTGGCACAGCCTCACACAGGAAGATTACATAAATAAAAATAAATAAATAAATAAATATCTTTAAAATTAAAATGAAAAATAAAAAACAAACAATACCAGCAACAGAATCAGAGCCTGACGGTGCAGGCCTATAATCCCAGCTATTTGGGAGGCTGACGCAGGAGGATCACAAACTCAGGGCCAGCTTAAAGGACAGAGTGAATTCAAGGCCAGCCTGGGCAACTTAGTGAGTGAGACTCTGTCTCAAAATACGGATTTTAAAAGAGCTGAAGGTTAGCTCAGTGGTAGAGTGGTTGTCTACCATACACAAAGCCCTGGGTTCAATTCCTAGTGAGGAAAATAACAATTGGAGGCTGTAAGAAGAACAAAGAGAGTCTAGAATCATCTCCAAAGGTAATGGTTCCACCCAGGCCTGAATCGGTGATGGACACAGATGGAATCTTCCACCCCTAGACTTTTGGGTCTGGAGGACCACGATCTCCGTGCCATCCTTACGGCTGGGACAGGCGTTATTCAACCAAGCACACTGGTGATGGGTGGTCGGGCACCATTGTGGTGGGAGAGTACAGAGTTGGGAGACAGAAGACAGGGAGAGGCAGAATTGTTCATGGGCTGGGGAGAGAAGCGGATCCAGAGGGGTGAGGGTGGTGAGGAACAGGTTGACATAGCTGGCCACTTGAGTGCAGGAAGATGTCTGGGTCTGGGCTACGACCTAGGGCCAGGTATTGATCTGAGGCCCTGGAGCAGCAGAGGGGCCCTGAGTTGATATCTGTGGCTCCCTTCATCACTGGGGGCCCGTGCAGGCGCCTGTGGTGGGGTCACATAGGTGTCTGAGGGCCGTGGCGCTGCAGAGGCCATGCCACCCCGGGCCATGCCAATCTGGGTGGCCTGCATGGCTAAAGGGTGGGGGGGGGGAGCTATGGTGACAACCTGGCCTGGGCTGCTGTTGAAGACCCTGCCTGGGTCCATGGTCCCGCCACAGCCAGGATCTGTGTTGATGTCCCTGGCCCATGTTGCTGCCAGGGCCCATGTGGAAGCCCAAGGACTGGGCCACAACCTGTGACCATGCTGGCATCCAAGGGCTGTGCCACTGCCAGGGCAAGGGCTGTCAACTGGGGTCATGGTATCATCCAGACCAGGGCTGGGTCTGTGGCCCTGCCACATGCAGGGTCTGTGTTGATGTCTGGGGCTCCTGAGACTATTGAAGATTTTGCTGATGCTGGGAGGTCTAGGCTGCCCCCTGGGGCCATGTTGGTATCCAAGGGCCTTGCTGCTGTGGGAGTCATGCCAGTTCAGATGCCACCTAGGACCATGGTGTCATCTGGCCCAGGCTGCTGCCTAGAACCACGACTGGGTCCATGGTCCTTCCACAGCCAGGGTCTGTGTTGATGTCTGTGGCCCATGTTGCCACCAAAGGCCACATAGATAACTAGGGTTTGGGCTGCAACCTGGGGCTATGAGGGTGTCCGAGGACCATGTTGCTATAAGGGACATCCTGATCTGAGTGGCCTGCACTGTCACCTGGGGCCATGATGTTGTCCAGGCCAGGGCTGCTGCAAAGGGCCATGTCTGGGTCCATAGCCCTGTGGAGCCTGGGGTCTAGGATGGTGTCTATGGCTCCAGTTGCCACCAAGGGATCTGCAGATGCCCAGGGTCTGGCTAGCCACCTGGGACCATGTTGATGCTTAGGGGCCATGTTGCTGCAGGGCCATGCTGATCTGAGGGGCCTATGCTGCCCAGGCTGTGGTGGCGTCTGGCCTGAGCTGCTGCTGAGGGCCATGTCTGGGTCTGTGGTTCTGATGCAGCTGTGGTCTGTGGTGATGTCCAGAGCTGGTGTTAGCATGAGGATTATTGGCGATATGCTGTGTTGAGCTAACCCCGCCTTTCACTGGCCCTGGAATGACTGGTCCTGCCCCTCTCTGATATTGCAGCAGGTGAGCTGGCCCTACCCCTCAGGGGAGAGCTAGCCCCTACACTCGGGAAAGATGGCCCCACACCTCACCATAGGCTTGCTTCTCACCTAGGAAGCACACTAGAGCTGGCCCTGTGGTTGAGGACACAGGTGAGTCAGTCCTGAGGGCTCCAGAGAAACAGAGTGACCTCATTCCCCGGTCTGCCATGTGGTGGCATGGATGAGGGAAAGATGTCCTCCCCCCTCTGCCCCTTGCTACCTGTGGCAGGAATGAGCACATGGATGAGGAAATCGGAACTGAGAGTCCTCTGAGACGCATGGGGGGAAGGAAGATGGCAAGAGACGAGGAAAGCACCTATGGTAAGAGCCCTTCTCTCAAGGTGTCCTGGCTGGTGTGGAGCTCAGGGTAAGAAGTGGGTGGAGCTTCCTCGGGTCTGGAAGCCCCTGGGATGAAACAGCAGGACCTGGGTCCTGCATTTGGCTATGTCTCTGTCCCTGCTCTGCTGAGAGAAGCTCAGAGCTTTGACCAGCCTGTCACTGGTTCCTAAGCATGAAGGAGGATCCTAAACCTACTCTGTTCTCCACAAAGATGACACAGAGGATGGGAAATCTAGCAGTAGAGTGAGCCTCACTCACCAGGTCTCCAGAATGGGGGACTAACTGGGTATTTAGTATTTTGGGGATCAGGGAGATGACTGTGGGTAAAGGCACACACAGCCAAACCTGATGAGCTGATTTCAATTCCTGAGTCCATATGATGGGAGGAGGGAACTGCCTCCTGAAACTTGACCTTTAGCCTCCAGAGGACATGGTGGTATGCTCCCCATAAATAAAATATCATCTCAAAGGGGGGTATTCAGCTGCAACACTCAGGAGAGCAGGCCCTGCACCTCTCCTGGGTGGCACAATAGAGTCAATCCTGTTGGCGTAGGTGTGGGTGAGGCAACCCTGAAGTTGTAAGCATGGGAGAGCTGTCCCTATTACTCATCTGTCATGTAGTGGCATGGGCAGGGAGAAATGCCCCCTCCCCCCATCCATCCATGCCTGAGGCAGGCGGGAAAGCTGTCCTTGCCCCTCATCAGTTGCAGCACTCAGGAGAGTGGCCCCTACACCATGCCTGGACAACACAGTAGAGCTGGCCCTGAGGATGTAGGTGTGGGAGAGCTGACCCTGAGGACATGAAAACAGGAGAACTGGCCCCACCCCTTGCTCATTGCTGCAAGGGGTGAACTAGCCAGGGCAATGCAGGAGAGCTCATGCTGGTGGTGAAGACAGGGGAGAGCTGGCAGACTGATCATCCCTGCAACTACCCAGGCCCAGAACCAGGATTGAGTTGACCCACCCTAACATCCACCCCATCTGTGATCTGCTGGAGCACATAAAGGGACCCAAAGCTGCAGGATCTCCATGACACAGGGCAACAACAGGATAACCAAAAGGCGTTCCAGTGAGGATCCAGCATTGGTAGTCTAGCAGAAACCAGAGGCCTCAAACCAGACCAATGACTCTTAGCAAGGAACACCTGCAATTAAGATATATGTATAAAGGGTCTACTGTGTGACTCCCTGTAACACTATAGCTTCCGTGATGAGACAGATTTTTCCCTTATCTTTTTCTTCTTCTCCTTCTTCTTCTTTTTTTTTTTTTTTTTTTTGGTTTTTCGAGACAGGGTTTCTCTGTGTAGCTTTGCGCCTTTCCTGGAACTCGCTTTGGAGACCAGGCTGGCCTCGAACTCACAGAGATCCACCTGGCTCTGCCTCCCGAGTGCTGGGATCAAAGGCGTGCGCCACCACCGCCCGGCTCCTTCTTCTTT